CTTTCCTTGTGTTTGTGTGTGTGTGTGTGTGTGTGGAGATTGTTTATTGAAAATATCTAATCGAATCGTCCGTCCGTACGTTCGTTCTTTCGTTCATCCATCACGTATTCTTTTATATTACAATCGATTCCAGGTCATAAACAATGGGAACAATTTTTTTACTTTCGACCCTTTCTTTCTCCCTGACGTACGAGATCAGCTTAATATTCGTTCAAGGCTTTTGCCCGAAGGCAGAAAGCCTTTAAATTTCGCGGACGAGATCGTACGAGAAAGAGAAAGAAGATCGAGCGGGTAGGAAGGGAGAGAGGATGAGGAGGGTGGAAGAGAGAGAGAGAGTACGTTCGTTCGGCCATACTCTCAACATTCGCCCACGCATGATTCTCTATCTACTAATACAAGTTTCCTTTTCACTTCGCATACTTGCAATACTTTGCTCACGTACGCACTGCTGCGTACATTATATATATATACACACACGCGTACATAATACGTGTACTCTTGGATGAGATACGAGGAGCAATAATTTTATGGCGTGTCCCATCAGACGCAATCAACTCGACACAGGGTATTTATTTCTTCGTTGTTTTTCTTTTCTTTTTTCTTTTTTTCTGTTATGCTTCTCCTGCGTTACTAATTACTCCTGATTGCGATAAAGTATCTCTCCGCGATATTTAGTTTGCAACGACACGGCTTTGGAAAATGCGCACGTTCTTTCATTCTTCTCATTAAAAAATACTTTTCCATTTAATCCATTCATTGTTACAAGGACATTATATGTATATATGAGTTTTATTTATCGTAATGACAAACTGGGTTATATCTTATAGGTCATTTTTACTTTTTAAATCATTATAAATGTCGTATTGAAAATTTACGGAGTGTTAATCACGGAGAGTATATATATATATATATATCCTTATTGTCAATTTAAAATAATCAATATTTCATAATTCTTATTTAATATAGCAACATATATTTTAGGATTATAAAACTTTTAAATTGTTATACATTTTATTGGAAAGAAAAAATGCATGTTTTTTTAAAAGAAGTAGAATTTTTATAACTAATACGAAAATTGGTATACTTAATCGTCTTAAAAGCATTATGAAATTCAATTGAGACAAATTTTTTTAATCTATTAAGTAAAAGCATTATATTTCTCTAACAATAAATATGTTCTTTTACAATCAAATTTATATCAATTGAAAAGTTTAATAATCCTATAATATTATATTTTTATCTATAAAAAATTTGGAAGTATTCCATGAGATTTAATCAAATATCAAATATCAGAATACGAATATTTCTGTGACTCATTAAAAATTTCTGATAATAATTAATAATTAATTCTATAATTGATAGTATTTTAAATTGTATAATAGAATATAATATAAATATAAAGTAGTACTTTCAATTAAATAAATAAATTTATTATATTCATGACAAAAACGTGCCGAATATTTTTTTTTATCAGTTAACGTATTAGAAATAGTATTTTCATCGGTTGATTTTACATTTTGAATTTACAGATTTTCTTGAAAGAAAAGCTAATTGAAAGGCAAGAAAAAGCTCAGGTAACTATTTATTAGACCTTCGATGGTAATTCTCGGTCGTTTATAAACCTTCGCCTAAGTACTCGACCATCTCTCTTTCTCTCACTCTCTCTCATTTTGTCTATTAACGGGAGTACCGTCGGAGTTTATTTTCACCTCAGATGTATTCGAAATTTTGGGTGTGGTTGCTTAGATTGAAAAGAGAAGAGCACGATTACTATAGTCGATATGTAGACACGAAGCTTTCGAAAGCTCGGCCGATATAACACGATCCTGGTGCGTAGACAAGGCCATGGGGGGGCCTAGCGATACCTCTCTGCACGGAGATTGTACGTAGTGCTTGTATGAGAGTTTATGGGCTTGGAATGGGTAATGGCTGCTCCTATCAGCTCTGTACACTCTCTCTCCTTCTCCTTCTATCTCTATTTCCTTCTTTTCCTTTACCCTTCATTCACAACAACTCTTTCTCTTTTCTTCTTTTTATTCCTTCCCTTTTTCCAGGATTCCTATTTTTTCTTCATTTTTTTTTGTCTACATTATTTCTCGTATACTTTACTCCATAAATTAGGAATATATTTAATATAATATAGTTCAAATTTAGATTATATTTATATTTAGATTATTTTATATTATATTTTTATATTATATAATAATAAGTTTATTTATATAGTTTCGCAGTCAAAAATTGATTTTGATTCTACAATGTTTTGATAACAATGAAAATTATATTAATTATATTATTCATTTAAAATCATTCAGATTAGATATTATTTATGTTACGATTGATCTATAATTATCTTTTTATTTTTATTATTTTTTTTCTTCTTTAGTTCTTTTTAGATAAGCATAAGTCTAGCAAACTTGGCAAACCATAATGATATTTTACTGATTTAGATACGTCTATGGTAACCTTGGATGTGGAGTACTTTGCATGTTAGATTCTCGTTGAACTCGCAATTTAGGACCATCTCAAACAAATAACCTTAACCAAGGGAAATGATCTTCCTTTTGGGAATTCCATTATTCGCAGGCACCGTACTATCGTAGAATTTCGAAGAGTAAAACAGATATAGGATATTTTTTTGTTCCCGAACTTTCTTTTGATCCCATAGCACAACATTAGATTCATGGTTCGATTTACGTTATTTTATCGAGAGATAAATAATTGAAACAAAAATTCATAGAAATATAAATATGTAAAGAGACAAATTTGAAAAGAGTATTTTCATGTTTTTAAATTTCTTTGTTTTTTTTTTCTTATTTCTTTTTGAAGAATAAGAAGAAAAATAAATTTTATTTTCTGTAAAAGGTTTTGCTTGTATACCATTTTGCGTAGATTCATTTTATTAGATATCAATTTCGTTTGATAAGAAACATTAGATTGAACTTATTTTTCTGATATTTTACGAGATGCCATGTTCGTATTACGAAACGAGATTATAATTGATAGATGATAAAACATCAATCGATTTATTTTTGATATAGATTTTCTTTTGTGTTCATTTTAACGACGTTATCTATTGTTTTCTCAAGTAATTAATATTAAAATTAATCTTTCAAAAATACTAAAAAAAATCTCTTACTTTCTCGTTTCTCGTATTATTAAATAAAAATGAAAGATGGGTCGCGGGCCGAATAAGATACGAGTAAAAAAGAAAAAACAAGAGAAAATATTCTCCATATTTTATCGTAGAAGAAAATAAACAAAAATTCGTATATCCGACAGTGATCTTCGAATTTATTGCACGGCGATCGAAAAGACGGGTCTAGAAAAATAATGTAAATAAAATGAAAATGAAAAAGAAAAAAAAATAGTAGAAATATATATTTCTAACAAACGGGATCATATTTTGTTAATAATAAACAAGCTTTGATCTGTTTCTAATACGATCAGTAAAATTTACGAAAGCATCTCGTATAACTCGTTAATTTCGATTAATTTCGATAACGATTTGTTCTTAATATCACACCGAGTTTATAATTAATTTGATCTGTGGTTATGCAACTGATATTTGAGATTTCTCTATTTACAATCATCATATTATATTTTATGCACGTGTCTGGGTACACGCGCGCATCAGGAAATATCATCGATTTGTGTCAATGGAATAATCAAAATGAGCTAACAGTGTCATCAAAATGAGTGTCACAGTTATCCGAAAAAGTAAAGAAATAATTGTTAGTTTTATGATAACATCGAAATTAAAAGTAAATCGGTCTTTCTTACGATTAGAAATTATTAACAATTACTCGAGTCAATTGGAAAGTTTCCAGACTTTCATAGAAACAATTCTTATTTTCTTTTTTGATTAAACTTACTTTTATTAAAAAAAAAAAAAAATTTATTTTGTAAATGAGATCAATCAAAATTGTTTAAAACTCAACTTTTTATGTAGTTTTGCAATATGAATAATTATCAATGTTATTTTTGTACTATATTTGTAACATAAGTGTGTTTATTATTTTGTTTATAGGTTTATCAGAGTAAAAATATCTGCACAAATAAATTGTTGATAAAGGTTTTAATGGTAATTTCTCTCATTAAAAATAAATGACTTATTGTTAGATATATATTTATAATATAATGAACTCTTGCCATTTGTAAACTACGATAAAAATTAAATCTAGATGATTAAAGCGATAACCGATTATCGCGTAATGATAATAGATGTTTTTATTAATCGTTCGTGGAACGTCAGATAAAAGATTTTTAATCGTTAGTGTTGTGCAGTCTTACGTTCGAGACGAAGCAACAATATCTCAGTGTAATTTTATTATAAAGTAATACAAAATGGGAATTAATTTAATTTGTACTCCTAATTTACAATTAGTACGTTTTATAATCGTATTTTTTCTTTTTTACGAGACAATCGTTGCAAAGGGTGAGTAAAACATTTGAAATTTGTGCAATTTTATAAACCCGAATCCAAACGTTTTGCATAAAATTGTAAATATAATAATAAAGAGAATAATTTATTTTCTCTCCGATGTTGGGGGTTGTCGTTGTTGTTTTACGTTGTACGCAAAATGATTTTCTCTCGATGTGTATGTGTTTTTTTTCTCTCTCTCTCTCTCTTCTCTTCCCATTCCCATTTTTTTTATCGAGCAAATGTCCACGAGATTTTATCATGGACAATTCGAAATGTCCGCGCAATTATTTCATGTGAAAAGTTAATATGCATAATCGACTGAAAATACGTCGTTTTGAGATAAACCGTGAAAGGCACAACGAAAATTTGCAATTAGCTTAATTGACTGTTCGATCGGCAAGCATACAATTGAAATTTTATTCGAGATAAAGAGAGAAAGAAGATAACACACACATTCCAAGTTTAATAATTTATTAAGGAAAATTTTATTCGTCGACTTTCGAAACAAAATCAAATCTATGACCATTTATTGCAGTYATATTTATTTATTAATTTTGTATTCCATGAACATCGTTAGGTGAGACGACAAATGTCTACTTTGATACTGAAATGATCAATTACAATATTTCCGGACGTATCGTGAATGGAACAAAAGCAGCGATTAGTCAATTTCCACATCAGGTGCGTATCGAGAACAAATTCGAGAATATATTATTTTTATTCTTATATTACAAAATCAATTATATTATAATAAAGACTTTGTAATGCAAGTAGGTATCATTGAGGCGTTCTTGGTCTGGAAATCATTTCTGTGGAGGAAGTATTGTCAGCGAACATATAATTTTAACAGCAGCCCATTGCATGTATCGGTGTGTAATTTGTACCAAAAGTTATTTATTTAAAATAAGTTTTTTCAAAAAAAAAAAAAAAGAAAAATATATATAGAAATAAAATGAAAACAAAAAATCGAATAAATTATTTAGCAACGATGAAGTTATATTACCATGGACAGTTATGGTTGTTGGCGGAGAAATGCAATTAGATCGTATGACGAAGGCTGGTCAAAAAAGGGGCGTAAGAGAAATTATCGTTCATCAGCAATTTAATCCGAAAACTTACCAAAATGATATCGCTATACTCCAGGTACGTACTTAAGTGTTTTCTATACATTTAAAAATGAAATATATTCATAACACAGATGTCCAACATATTTCTGATAAATAAATAATGAAGSAACGAAAGACGACATCTAATCTTATCGTTTCTTTTTCTTTTTTTTTTAATCGATATTGTTTGGATTAAAATTTACAAGATAATATGATTATAGGCTGATTGTATTATTATGTTACGAATATACAAACGATCTGTTTAAAAATTATTCTTTTGTTTTTATTTTTCTACAGTTAAAAGTACCATTTAAATTTACGCCACAACTGAAGCCAATTCAATTACCAAAAGACCAAGTTCCACCGGGTACAATCTGTCAAGTATCAGGCTGGGGTTACCCTTCAGAGGTAAAACTGTTTGCAAAATTTTAAATTTTACCACAAAAAATATTACCTTTTTTAAATTAAAAATTAACAAAATTTTATTACAATTCGTTAGGACTTTCCAATTGTTACCAACGATTTGATGTACGTGGATATGCCAATTTTAAGTATGGAAAATTGTCGTAAGTTGCTCGAAAATGTGACGAATTTACCACCAGGAATGTATTGCGCTGGTTACATCGATGGCTTGAAAGATGCGTGCCAGGTAAAAAAAAAACTAAACTATTTGATCATAAAACATACAAACGCAAATTGTCGCGAATAATTGATCTTAATTAAAAAAAGAAAAGAAAAGAAAAGAAAAGAAAAGAAAAGAAAAGAAAACAAAAAATGATGAAATATCGTTCTATAATTTTTCAAGATATTTCACTTGCACGTCTTTGACAATAACCATTATTTACACACTTTACGATACTTATCGAGCAACTATTCAATACGTCTTGTCTTCGTTATCTCTCGACTTTGTTTGACCAAACCGATGTGTCGATTATTAAGAAAGAGGAATTTATTTTTCCAACTATTATCGAGAACGACTTCTAGTATATATTTTTCGATCAAATAACATTTCTATTAATATTTATTTTACGTATATCACGTTGAAAATTTTTTATTTCTTATTTTTTTTTTAAATATATGTATAAAACCTGTCTCGAAATGAAATTTCCTTCAAACTGATGTATATACTTTAACCCTCGAGGAAAAAGTTGTTTAAAGTATCGTAATTATTTTTTGCAGGGTGATTCCGGTGGTGGAATGGTTTGCGACGGTGTTCTAATGGGTATCGTTTCCGCCGGTGAGGGTTGCGCGAGACCAAAACTTCCCGGAATTTACACGGACGTTTTATTTTACAAACATTGGATAACGTATCCCATAGCTTACGAAAAATCCATACGAGATGATTCGGAAGATCCTTATAGCGCTGCTAATAAGATACAATCTACCGCCATTACGATAGTTACATTTTTCTCAATATATTTGTACAAATTGTTAGTACTTTAGTAATAAATTCTTTTTATCAGTATGAATTATTCATTTATTTTCACATTTTATTTGTTCACGAAGTTATTTGAATATATTTTTTATACCAGTAAAACCCTCCTCCTCACCATCCACCCGTTTCAATATTGAAACTTAGTTTTTTGTTGTTGTATGAAAATAAAGATACATATGGAATATTTTTATATAATACATCACGATTTAAAGTATTTATTTTATTTTAGGTATTTATATATATATATATATAAGACAGTTGGTATTAAATTATTCTAATATAATAATTCAAGAAGATTATTAGAATTAATTTGTAAGCTAACAGATCATCGTAGATACGCGCAAGTGTCTCCCCTGGCACACGTTAACTCCGAAAAAGGATATATACATGAGCTTTACTTTTCTCTCCCCTTATATTCTCTCTTACTTTTACGTATAAAACTAAGGCCAAGGAAAAGAGGAACACAGCCCTTGTGTCGGTGTTCCGCTGTTAATTGACCTGGACGTACTCGCAAAGATGGGGTTCTTTGATATACATAGATATTTTCTTAACGCGACGTAATATCGTTGGGTAGGAGTTTGCGAGTAAAGTTACTAACTACGAGATCGATAAATTAATAAGTGTTCTGGGAATAATAGATTTTATCCTACTTAAAAAAAAAAAGAAATAAAAATAAAACAAGAAAGAAATTATAATAACGTCTGATAAGAAAAAACTTTTCATTTCGATATTACAGATAACCAATTAATTTGATTACACTTTAATCAAACTTCGGATAACTTTTCAATCTCGTATTATATTCTATTCTTAATTAAGTAAAAGGAATCTTTAAATAATTTTCATTTAGATATTACATTCTGTTATTTTAATATTAATTAATGGATAGCTTGAAAAGGCAAAGCTGATTTTTTTTTGTTAAACCATTTGAAGGTAACACTTTTTTATTTATTTAAAGATATTTTYAAGAAATATTTTTCATTCATTAAATACAAATAATACCACGAGAGTGGTTAATAACAGTTTTGAAACTATGTCGAAAAATAAAAGTGAGTTTGATCGAAAAAAAAAAAGAGAAAAAGACGATGAAGAAGAAAAAGAACAAAAAACATTGTTTCTATATTAAGGTCAAAACTTTTCAACCTCACTTACATATTAATAAATCTGTACGAACTTTTGGGCTAACACTCAATAAATAAAAATAATTAAAAGAAAAGGTTTTATTTTCCCTTAAACATTAATAAATTATGAAAACTAAAGTAAAATAAATGCGATCGTAGCGAGTCATAAATTTGTTTGATCCTAGAGATCTGGTAGATGAATGTAAAAGATGTACACGTGGCTTATAAAAAAAAAAGAGAGAAATGTATATATAAAGAGAAAGAGAAAGAGAGAGAGAGAAAGTAGGAGGGAAAGGGAAAGAAATAGAGAAAGCAGAGAGGCCTCGATGACGGATCCGCTTTGATCTCGAACGAAAAGCCAGGATTCTATATGTATATGTGTATGTGTGTGAGAGAGATAGAGATAGAGAGAAAGAGTAAGAGAAAGAGAGGGCGTAAAAAGCTCGTAGCTACTTGTTACGAGGTCGAGATGATGATAACCGCTCAGCTACTACCTCGAGAAATGTATTAGCGATATTACTGTCTGCCATTCTCAGGGAAAATCGTTGCCAGTACGTATCTCTCCTCTTTTCTCCTTTTCCGAAAGCCTGTACGAAAATACGTTCGACTTTGACGGTACAATCCCTCGACCCTCGAGAGCTCGACATTTCGTTTAATATCACTTTTTTTTCCTTCTTTCCTTTTTCTCATTTTTATTTCTTCTTCTTCTTCTACTTTTTTTCTATTTTCTTTTCGTATCGATACACGTTAACGAAATGAACAAAAATTTAAGTACTTTGGTCGTCGAAGTATCGCTAAAGTTCGTTTCTATTAGTGTGATTATCATAGACACTAGATATTTACGGATACTGAACTAAAATTTAATTCATTTTAAATTTTGTGTTGCTACATATATTATATAAAACTTAAATATTATTTTTTATAAATATATGTTGATTTTGAATGCAATATTGAAGTATACGTAAATAATTAATTGTTTTCCTATGTCTCCCCACTTTTTCATTCAAACAATTTAAAAAATAGTCAACAAAACATTTATAAATCTAATGTTAAACCATTCAGTATAATCGTCGGATATATCCGGCATCCGTCTAATTACCTGTGTATACGATTATCAAATATTGTTTAACATTGTTTTATTAACACTAAACTTATCAGATCCTGTAATTAGTAAAAATGTGATAATTTATACAAAATAAAATAAAATAAAATGTAAATTATTCATTTCTAAATCAGAAAAGATATTTTCTTCACTATCCCATAGGCTAAAATTTCATTCTACAATGAGATATATTTTGTTTATTGTTTATTTAAAGGGATTATTTAATTACTGTAGGAATATGGGTGAAATATCGATAAGTTCAACGTTAAATACAGTTCTTATTTAACGGTAAGAAAAATGTTCATAGAAAAGCGTGTGGCGTCACAGCGAATAGAAAGGTTCGTTACTGAATAAGTTAAATGAATATCCGTTAAGGAAAGATAATCCTTTAGGAAGCCTAAGAGTTGACTATCGAAAGGGTTTCGAGGGTATATCCGATCCAACACGATAGATAACATACATGAACAAAAGTTCTAAGTTAAAACCGGATATGCGACTAGATAAAGAAATCTTTTATATATGAGCCGTTTATTTGGAAAGTTGCTTAAAGTCCATTTTCCAAAAAAAATCGATTTAGTTACCATAATAGTTACATTTTTACATTTTTCATTCTGAAAGAGAAGATACTTGTTACTAATATATTTAAATTTATTAAGATTTGGTAAGATGAAAAATTGCTGGTTAATGAAGTCATAAAAAAATTTATTTTGAAAGTAGCCTAAGTCTAATCATAGCTATCAAATAAATGTTATTTCTTAAATAATTTTAATTATGCTTATTGGGGTTGATAAATTTAACACTTTTAGAAACCTAAAAAACAATATTATATTATATATGTCATCTTTTATTTATATTTTTAAATTTAATCTAACGTAAAAATTTTCATTATCTTCATTCGAACATAAATAGACTTATGGTTAGGCCACTTTCGGAATAAATGCCTTTTACGTATATTTTTCCTATTCATAATAATTCTACACATTGTAAACGTTGGTTACAAACGAAAAAAGAAAATGGAGAAATAAATGCGAAATGGTTTGTAAAAGGAAAATTTTTCAGCCCTTCCCGACGAAATTGCAAAGAGAGAGATAGAGAAAGAGAGGAAAAAGTTCTTTTTTTTTCTTCTTCTTTTTTTTCCCCTCCCCCGTTGGCAAGAGAACGAACGCGTCTTTCACGGGCGGAAACGTTCCACCAATTTTCGTTTCAAGCCAGTAGTATAGCTTATGTACGAGTCCCTCGACGAAAGAGCTTACGAACTCTATTCGCGACCTCTTTAATACCGACATCGAATAAGAATTCATTAGTGTATATATGGGTGGCTCGAGAGAGCCGAGGGTAAGAGTCTCTCGTTTTTCTTTTCTTTTTTCTTTCTCTGTCTCTCTCTCTCTTTTTTGACCGTACAGTCGCGTGGGTAGGGAAAGGGGGGTGAGGGGTGGCTAGAGTTTTAAATAAATTAAAAGTTTATCTTTTTTACGTACCGAGTAGTAGTACTACCTTTCCTCCCCTTTACTAACAACCTACCTATCGGCGAGTTCGGCAAAACGAGCGAATTCGAACGAACGAAAGGAAAAAGGGAAAGAAGAGGGGGAAAAGGGCGTAGGTGGTAGGTGCCTTGGCATGGGGTAGAAGTTGAATATCGGCTACCCTCGAGAGGAAACGAAGTTTCCTCTAATTACTTGTCGAACGCGAATCGAAGCTGAACGAAGGAGGAGGAAGGAAAGGAGAGGGAATGTACGAGAAGGGTCGACTACTCCGTAGCCAGCCTATTCAAGACGTGGGCTCGGCTTCCTTTCTTACTTACTTCCTTTACCTCGAGACGCATTTCAGCTTGCAAAGAGGGACAGTGGTAGGTAGGGGGAGTGGGTGGGGTGAGGTGAGGGAATGAGTAAGAGAGATATTTATTGAAGGATCCAACAAAGTGAACCGAAATGTGTGCTAAGAATAGAAATGAACTTTAATGAGAATGAAATTAAACGTGTAACGTGTAAATAATATAATATATATATATAATTATAGTTAGATGAAATGTTTTAAAATATAATCGTTCAAAACTGTCACTCTTAATATATTTTTATTCAAATAAAAATAAAAGAAAGACAAAAAATCTGATTTTAAAATATCCAAAGTTAACGTCCTGGTGTTTCTTAGTAATACGAAGGATAAAGGACCACGGAACGGTCGCATTTGATTTCACGGGCTATAAAGCTGCCTAATTGCTTCACTGGCAGGCGTGGCTACTATGCTTTTGCGGATGACCGTTAACCGTTGACCGAGAAACAAGACTGGGACATGTTTTTGTTTTTTTTTTCGTTTATACTTTAACAATAATAAAATAGAACTGTTCACACACACACAAAATATTATTCAACGTTAGGAATATAGATAAATGTTTGCAAAAGAAGACTTTAAATGAAATAAATATTTAAACAAATTTGTATCGTCGTGCAACAATTTTTGAATGTAAAATGGAAGACAAGGGTAGTACCCTTCAAAAGTTTCATCTTACTCTCTAGGTCCTTTATTGATTACATTGTCGGAAACATTGACAACAAGATGTGTAAATTGTCGAGGAAATTCTCCAAAATTAGAAGGGAAAAACGGCCATTTGCTTTCAGTATGTCTTTGATCTTCTGGCCCTTCGTCGAGCCTAATAGAGCAAAAGAGAAAAGAAGCAAAAAAAAAACAGACAAAAAGAGAGAGAGAGAGAGAGAGAGAGAGATAAAGTAAAACAATGACTTGTTCTTACATTATCGATCGATTTAATTAGAAATCTAAATAAAATCTTCTT